ATTTATATTCCACCCTTCACTAGGAGTCTCCGAGTGGCTTACAAACTCCTTTCCCTTCCCCTACCCACAACAGACACCCTTTGAGGTAGGTGGGGCTGAGAGAGCTCTTTCAAGAACTGCTTTGACAGAGCTATGGCTTGCCCAAGGTCATCCAGCAGCTGCAAGTGGAGAAGTGGGGAATCAAACTCAGTTCTCCCAGATTAGAGTCCGCGCACTTAACCACTACATCAAACTGGCTCTGTTTTTTCTCCACCATGGCTTTTCAAATTGTATTCTCTCTTTGACACTGACCTCTTATCATATGCTTTTTTCTCTGTTCTTTGCATATTCTTTCCCAAACTTGGATGGGTTCTGTCTTTCCAGAAAGAATGTAACCCAGTTACATTAGCGAACCATCTGGACAGGAAGGTGTGGATTTTGAAGGGTGCCACTGATACAAGTACCCTTTTCTTTCCATCAGTCCCTTGCATGCTCCATTTTCTCTGCTGTACCACTAGAGCACTTTATTTATTTATTTATTTATTTATTTGTATTTATACCCCGCCCTCCCCAGTGGGCTCAGGGCAGCTTACAGGGGCAAGGAAACCTTGCCATAATAAAAACATGGAACTTTGGGGAAGGGAGACTTCCCCCCCAGACTGATAATTGCCATTGGTCTATAGCACAATAGCATTCTAACAAAATAGCCCCATGAGCCTCTGAATTCCCAGCTTTCATTAAAAGTGTGTTTGTGTGTGTGTGTGTGGGGGTGAAGTAAGTATCTAGCCTTTTTTGTTGACATAGGGGGAAATTCCCCCATTGCCTTTTCCCCTATATTTCCACAATGAAATTAACTAGACATTTAATTTAAAAACAATAACCAGAAGCTGGGAATTAAGAAGAACTGGTGGCGGTTGAGCACTATAACATTGCTGTGCTATAGCACAATAGCAACTTTTTTTTTAAGCCTTCTGCTGCTTAGGGAATGACAATGCTGGGAAAACTGTGATGGATGCAGTTGCACATAAAACTGCCATGCGGATGTTCCATTGCCAGTACAAAATTCTTTGCAATCGTGGTGCTGATGACAGGGAAGAAGGGAATTCTCGCCATGTGGATTAGGGTTCCCAAGTACTTACCGCGATCCGGCAGGGGAAACATGCTCCCCGGCTGGACCATTCCTCCCTGTAACACAGCATGCTGTCGCCAGGAAGTGACACTGGGCGACGCTCTGGCAGTGGGGCTGAAAACTCAATGGTACCATCGAGTTTCGAGCCCCATTGCCAGAGCGTCACCCAGTGTCACTTCCTGGTGACGGCATGGTGCGGCACGTCTGTTGTCCCCGCAGGAATGATCCTGTGAAGACGTCTGTGTCCCCCGCCGAATCACGGTAAGAACTTGGGAAGCCTGATGTGGATGCAGCTTACAAACCTGCTGTTTAGTGAAACCAGAATAAGGAAAGTTGGCTTTGTTCTGGAACAGTTAGCTTTCTTCTTTTCAACTTTTAATGGGCTTTGTTGATAAAGAGGTTTTTTCCCCCAGGCGGCTCTTTCTGCCGGCCCATTGGGTAAGCAGACAAACAGGGGAGGTAGGTTAGGGCCTGCTCTCAGGTTAATTAAACTGGCCTGCACTTTCCCTCCAGGGACTTCACATCACAGCCAAGGTGAAATACCGAAGGCCACTTGGAGTTGGCTTTTTAAAGAGGAGAATTGTAGTCAGACCAAAATCAGTAAGGGCTCAGGAAACTCTGTGCCTTTGCAGCATTAGCCTCCTTTTTAGACTTGCTTGACATTTAACTTGGACACCGGGATCAGCTGCTGACATTTATGAATAAATAGATGTAAAGGGCTTGAGGTAATGCTGCATTTTTAAATTACATTTCTTGACATGACGTTCACAAGAATGTTTTAATTAGACAATGTGCTTTCTGGAATGCATCCAGACCTTCCGTGTTCTCTTTGATGGTTAAATTTTAATCCAGCCTCATGTGGGTTTTGTCTTTATACTTTTGCTAGTACAGAGGGCTTTTCTTCACATTATAAGGCCTGCTTGGTTGTTTTTTGTCTGCCACAAAAATGTAGATAAAAAAATCTGCTTTTGACTTTTTCCTCCTTTTCAAACTGGGAAATAGAGTAACCTCTCTCTTTAAAAAGATAGAAGATCTAAGTCCGCCTTGAACCACCGGGTCAGTTGGCTGGGTGTGATACCTGCAAATCACATCTCTACTTTTTGCCTCAGAATAGCACAGTCTGGCTGCCTTTTTATTTCAACTGTCCTGTGGATTTAAGTTCCCATTTAAATCCATTAAATCCAGTGGATTTAAATTTATGCTGCTGAATTTTAATCCCAGTTGATATGGACGTCTTCCTCTATTTCCTTGTCACCATGGAGAGCATTTCTTCACGTTTAAACATTATAAGGCCTGCTTGGTTGTTTTTTGTCTGCCACAAAAATGTAGATAAAAAAATCTGCTTTTGACTTTTTCCTCCTTTTCAAACTGGGAAATAGAGTAACCTCTCTCTTTAAAAAGATAGAAGATCTAAGTCCGCCTTGAACCACCGGGTCAGTTGGCTGGGTGTGATACCTGCAAATCACATCTCTACTTTTTGCCTCAGAATAGCACAGTCTGGCTGCCTTTTTATTTCAACTGTCCTGTGGATTTAAGTTCCCATTTAAGTCCATTAAGTCCAGTGGATTTAAATTTATGCTGCTGAACTTTAATCCCAGTTGATATGGACGTTTTCCTCTCTTTCCTTGTCACCATGGAGAGCTTTTCTTCACGTTTAAGTTGGAACAGAAACACAATTAAAAATAAGTCTTGCCTATGTATTTATTTATTCAAAAGACAATTTCTGTGCTGTCTTTTCCTTCAAACAGGGCTCCCTAGGTGGTGAATATCAAAGCATTAAGACAGTATTTAAAATAAAGTTTATATAAAACAAACTATTCAGTAAGAACATTTAGAGGTACATTAACACAACCAGTGAGGAGGGCCAATAACAGTAATGGGGAATATGTCAAACAAAACAAAAAGTCTTCACCTGCTGGTGTAAGACACTGACGGAGGGAGACAGAGGAATCTCCCTGCGGAGGGAGTTTCCATAGTTTTGGTGCCACGACCGAGAAGGCCCTTTCTTGGGTTGCTTCCCCTCTAGCCTCAGATAGTGGGGCACCTGAAGCAGGGCCTCTGAGGATCCTGCACTGAGGCAGCGTTAGGCTGGTCCTGCATTGAGCAGGGGGTTGGACTAGATGGCCTGTATGGCCCCTTCCAACTCTATGATTCTATGACTGGAGAGGATGTGTAGGTTCCTATGAGAGAAGGCTGTCTTTAAGTTATGCCAGCCCAAAGAAGAAGAGACTGGATTTATACCCTGCCCTTCACTACCCAGAGGAGTCTCAGAGCAGTTTACAATCCCTTTCCCTTCCCCTCCCTGCAACAGACACCCTGTGAGGTAGGTGGGGCTGAGAGAGCTCTGAGAGAACTGCCCTTGAGAGAATAGCTCTGAAAGAATTGTGACTGACCCAAGGCACACCAGCAGCTGCATGTGTAGGAGTGGGGAATCAAACCCAGTTCTCCCATACTAGAGTCTGCACTCCTAACCACTACACCAAACTGACACTGTATATGGCTTTAAAGGATAATACCAGTGCCTGGAATTGGGCCCAGAAGCAAATGGGGAAGCATATGTGATGGCCATGTTCCAAAATGCCAGTCTTCTGGAGTAGGGCTGCAAGAAAATTTCAGTGTAGGCAGGCAGAAAAATTATGTATACTTCTGTTTCTGTTCTTCCAAAGGGAACGGTAATCCAGATCCATAGAAATGTGAGCATACTGTTCACCTTCTGACAGCAGTAGCCTAACATTGCTTGGAACACATCTAGGTTAGATTATTGCAACAGCATTCTCTGTGTAGTTACCTTTCAAAAATGGCTCAAAGCTTCCGTTGGCAGGAAGATTTCTTGCTGGTATGAGCAGGGTTCCCTCTAAGCTGAGTTAGTGTGAGCTAGCTCACAGGTTTTTTTAGCCTCCGGCTCACACATTTTTGTCTTAGCTCAGGAAGGATGGCTCCAGAGCAAACCAATTTATGCAAGTAGCCAAATCGCTCACTCACAGCTAAAATGCCAGTAGCTCACAAAGTAGAATTTTTGCTCACAAGGCTCCACAGCTTAGAGGGGGCATTGGGTATGAGTTATAGGTAACTCAAGAGAGGGACCTTGCAGGGATTAAGAAGGGAAATTTCACCCCACCCCTTCCTTGTTCAGGTTCTTCTTGACCTTCTACCTGCTGGCCCTTTTCTTCTCTCCTCCACCCACTGTTTTGTCAGTACTTCAGTGAACCCATTGCAGAAAGTGGAAGTGTTCTTCCATTCAGAATAAAGAGAGCAAGCTTGTTCTCATTCTGATTTGGCTTGATTGGTGTTCTCACATAGCCAAAGCTGATTGGCTGCGTTGTGCCATGACATCATCACGATGGCTGTATGTTGCCTGATTGGAAGGATCGCATAGCCAGGATGACCAACTCTTGATTCAAATGGAACCAAAATGGCTGCTGAAAGGGGCAGCAAACAAAAGTGAAATAGTATTTAAAATATGTCTTTTAAATGTTTTGGGCTTTTCTTTTTTGCTTTTTTTTTTGCTTGGAAGGTGTTTGCCTGTGAAGTTTAGGCTCAGCTGTAGTTTGAGGGAGGCTAACATTGCGAACAAAACTTTTATAATATATATTCATTGTAATTTTCCATATATCTGTTGAGACAACTTATTAGAATTGTTTACTTGGAGTTGTAATATAGAAGCTGAAAATCAGGAAGTGAAAAGAATAGGCTGTGCGGGGAAGTTCCAGGCCACAGTGAAGTAGACATTTGACTTGTTCTGTTCTTGCCAATCAGGGGGTTCTTCCAGTTTCAAAGTGCTGGTCTGTGTATCAAGCTAACTGTTTGAAATAGGATGCCCATCTCCTTTTACCCCAGAGCCCATAAATTGCCTTCTATTACTATTTTGATAGATTTTTTTTTGACATTTCAGGTACCTGACTGCAAGTAACAAACAGAAGTTCTTGTATACCACCAGACCGTTTTTAAAGAGGGCTGCCTTGGTACTTACCTATGTAAGTATTAATTTTTGAAATCTATTTGTATTCACTTTCGAGGGTCCCCCCATGTTTCCTATTCCATTAGCAGTCTCCTTATAAGATCATCAAGAGTAAGCTAATATAGTCAGTATTTTACTCTCTGAATTCATAAAAATGACCATAGAATTGGTATGCTGAGCTGTTATGTCTCAAGAGGAGTTGCGAGGATTGTGTTGATGGCAAGGACACTGTTGTAGTCGATTGTCAGTTTCTGGTAACTGGAGGAATACCATCTCTAGAACTGGAAGTTATGAGATGTAACTAAGGCACCCCGGTCACCCAACCATTATCGCCAGATGTGGTCAGGTGAGGCTATACTTTAGATAGAGTGCATTTTCAGTTCTTGTATTGTGCAGAATTTGGAACTGAGCACAGAATTAAGTATCCTGACCACCTGAATGGTCTTTCCCCCCCTCCTTTTTCAAAAAAGCAACAACAACAAATTTCTAATCACTAAGAGGGCTTGACGATGTGGGACCAACAACTGATAAAGTCTCAGAAGTGGTCAAGTGACAGTGTAGAGCAGTAACTGCCTGGAAAGAATTCACTGTTGTATGTACTCCAATGTGGACAGGCAAGAGAGAACTCTAGAATCTAGAAAATCTTGGGCTAGATTTTCTCCCTCTCCCTTCTGTCTGTGAATGTTCAGTGAGGTCATCGTTAAACGCCTGCCACTGAATTTAGCCATGTGGAATCCTATGCGAGTTTAGGCCATTTTGGAAATGGCATGATGGAGTGCTGCATGATAATCCTCGATCTGTGGTGGACATGAATGACGAGTCTTCTTGAACTCACCTGTTCTTATCTCCTTGTGTGTGGCACGTGACCAGAGGTTTCCTTGTTTGGGAAGCCTTCAACCAAACCAAAGTTTGACATGATGTCTGAATGCAGATGCTGGACAAACTGGTGGTTGGTTCCACCTTACAAACTGGGAGTGTATCGTGAGATTCAGTTCAGTCCAATTTGTTCAGGCACCTGCATTTGGGGATTCTGACACATTGGAGCCTGATTCAACACTTCCTCAAACCGGGAAGCTTTCTGATGTGCTGTATGCACAATGGGGGAGAAGAGAGGGGAGCATGTCTATACGATAACAAGCCGCTTTCAGGTCCTTCACAGATAAGCACAGGTTTTCATAACGTGTGAATGTGGCTTAAGGCTCTATAGTGTCTTGGAGCATTACTTAGTCTGTATGTGACTGTCCTGGGATAATGCATGAATACTACCAAAGGTGAATACTTCTGGAGTGAGAAAAATGTAGTCAGAAGCTGTGCTCATACACAGGTCTGCAGCATGTTCTAACAAATTGTGCACCCCTCTGTGATGACCCCAACATCTCTTCTTCTTCTTCTTCCCCAAAGGTGATCTTACTTTTGTATTTTCGTCTCTGGATAATGGGAGGTTCCATGCCAGCGTTTTCAGAACAGGACAATCCAGCTTCATTCTCACCATATCTCCTTACAAGGTAGGTGCCTAGACCTGCTTCAGTTCACACAGTATTGGTAGATTTGAGCTGGTGGTACCGTGCCCTTTAGCGGGGATTTATGTATTTCAGACTTCAGCAGCTTACGCATCAGGCTCACGCCCTCCTGGCTTTCCACAAACTATACAAAACTGAACAAACTTAGAGTTCAGTGGCACCTCTAAGTCCAACAAAGGTTTATTCAAGGTATGTGATTTCGTGTGCAAGGCACACTTTTTCAAATATTTGAAAATATTTTGAAACATTTTTGGAAAATATTTTGAAAAATATATTTGAAATATTTTTCAAGTATTTGAAAAAGTACGCCTTGCAATAGGCCCAATCCAATGCCACACACTTTCTAAAAACACTTGGTGGGCAAAAGGACATCAGTGGGTGGCATGAGCACCACGTTCGGGACCCCTCCTTTAATATGTCATGTTAATGCTTATGCTTGGCTTCACCTGTGATTGGTTCCAGAGTTCTGCAAGTCAGATTCTATTGCATTGTCTGTTGGATCCTCCATCCTGTTGATTGTATTGACCTATTCTGTGTAATCTGCCTTGAACCCCATTGAGAAAGTTGGACTGTAAATAACACAAATAAACAACGAAAGGCAGATAAGAGACCAGAACAGGGAAAAAAAACTTAAGGCCTATGAACAGTAAATAATTAAAAAATAAAATTTAAAAGGAAGAAACAAAAAACATTAACAACACAGGCCGCCCAGAGAAGGCCCCCCCAAGCAGTTGGATCAATAGTGCAAAGGCAGGTAAAAAAAAAATCAATGGAAAGCCTGGGTAAAACAGTGTGTACTTTCTTTACATTGGAATTTTAAATTGGAAATTTCTGCCACCGGTGGAAGACCCGGGAGGGAGGAGGCGGGGCACGGCAAGATCAAAGGTTAGAGGATGATTTAAAAATAGCAAATAAAAAAAATCTTTAAATTGGAATTTTTTTTTAAATTGGAAGTTTGAAAGACTCAGAATTGGACGTAGGGTGGTAACAGAAGCACTTCAGGTGGAAAGATGCTGTTTCTCTCTTCTTGGAGAAGGGAAGCATACAGAGAAGGGCCTCTGAAGGATGCCCCCAGTTAGTTATATCAGGTCAACCTGCAACACCATCTTTGTTGCCAGTGTGACGCAGGGGTTACAGTGCAGGACTAAGATCTGGAGGACCCGGGTTTGTATCCCCCTTGTGCTATCGAAGCTTGCAGGTCCACCTTGGGCCCAGTTAAACACTCTTAAACTAACCTCCTTCGTAGAATTGTTGTGGGGATCAAATGGAGGAGAGAAGAATGATGTTAAGTGGCTTTGTGTCCCCGCTGGGGAGAAAGGAAGGGTATCAGTGAAGTAAATAAGTGGCATACATTCTACTGAAAGAGAAAACAGTAACAATGATCAAAAGCACTTTAGGGCCTTTGGAATGAGGCGGCCTCAAATCCAAGGAAACGTTCCAGGTAAATGTTGCCGAGAATATTCAGACTTCGTGCCTGTGTGCACCCTGCCAGTTTCAAACATGTTCTGCCATGTAGTCTCAGACTGGTGTGCTGACAGCTGTCTAACTCTGATTGCCACCGTTTGCCACTGTTTGGTTGTGGGTGTGCAGAAGGCAGGGAAATATGTTTTGATACCTTCATACAATTTGTGTGGGATGTCACAGTGGGATATTTAGAGTCCAGTGGCGCCTTTAAGACCGACAAAGGTTTATTCAAGGCATGAGGTTCCGTGTGCAAGGCACACTTTTTCAAATATATTGGAATGGTGGGTAAAGCTCAAACTTGTAGACAGGAACTTAACAGCAAATTAACATGTAACATAATGATGTTTAAGTTATGCAAAGTCAGAACTAAAGACCACCTGGATCTAACGCTGGAATATTGACAGTCAACAATTTTGGGCATTCACATCTAATGCATATAAGCGATGAAATTAAAAGACGCCTGCTCCTTGGGAGGAAAGCAATGGCGAACCTAAACAGCATGATAAAAAGTAGAGACATCACCCTGCCAACAAAAGTCCGCATGGTCAAAGCAATGGTATTCCCAGTAGTCATGTATGGCTGCGAGAGTTGGACTATAAGGAAGGCCGAGCGCAGAAGAATAGATTCTTTTGAACTATGGTGCTGGAGAAGACTCTTGAGAGTCCCTTGGACTGCAAAAAGATCAAATCAGTCAATCCTAAAAGAAATCAACCCTGACTGTTCCCTGGAAGGCCAGATAATGAAACTGAAGCTCAAATACTTTGGCCACCAAATGAGAAGGGAGCACTCCCTGGAGAAGACCCTGATGCTGGGAAAGACTGAAGGTCAAAGAAGATCGTCGCATAGTCGCAGACGAAGGAACTACCCCGGAGGGAGCTGCTGCCGAGCCGAGCCGAGACGCCCACCGCACGAAGTCAGAAGAGAGAAGAGCCGCTGGAAGAACAACTAACCAGTAGGGTGCCTGGTAGGCACTCACCTTCCCCCAATTACCGTGTGGCCCTAGTTAGGAATATCAATAAGCCATGTAAATCACTCTGAGCCTTCGGGATAGAGCGGTATAGAAATAGAAAATTAAATAAATAAAATAAAAAATAAATAAAGACGGGGACGGCAAAGGATGAGATGGTTAGACAGTGTCATCGATGCAACGAACATGAAGTTGAGCAAACTTCAGAGGATGGTGGAAGACAGGAAGGCCTGGCGTGATCTGGTCCATGGGGTCGCGAAGAGTCGGACTCGACTGTGCGACTGAACAACAATGAAAAATTCTAAATTCAGACAAATAGAAGTCTTTAATCATCAAGATGTGTTTGAAGTCCAGGACCTAAGTGTGTCTCATGTTCTATTTATCTGCCACGTTTGTAATCTGCTCTTCCTCCCAGGACCCCAGGCCCTCATATATGTTCTCCCCTCCTCCATCTTGTCTTCACAACAATCCTGCGAGGTTGATGAGCTGGGAGTGGCTGGTCTAGGTTCATGCCGTGAGACTGATGACTGAATAGGGATGTAATTTTAGGTCTCCCCCATTCTTATTCATTGCACTGGCTGTCTTTGGTTTTTATCCTGCCATTCTGCTTATCAAAACCTTCCTCTGGTGCTGAGAGTCTTCATTGCTGGCAGAAGAGCCACTTCCGGTAGGGGACGGCTGTCAAGACCGGAGGAAGGCCTCAGACTTTGCTGTGTATTTTCCTAATTCGCAATCTGCTATTTTTTGTTTCATATGCAGAATTATATCCACTAGAATATCTTGTATCCTCAAAACAACCCTGTGAGGTAGACTAGGCTAGATGCAGCTGGTCAGACGAGAAACTGTGGGGCAAACAGCTTTTTTGCAGTTAGGTCAGGGCACCAATTCTTACCCATAAAGCAGGAAGCATTTATTTCTCAATGCAGGAGGTACTATTGAACTTGTGTCCATAAAGCAAAACAACACCACTTTTTTTCACCGACTTGTGTTGCTTGCTGTAAATTGCTAAGCTGGGTGCTGGCAGTAATCCAAGATTCATTGCCAAGCGTACAAACCCTTGCAGCTTCCAAAAGCCTGCCGGCG